GTACCACACAGGTATTCACAGTGGGATCCTCTTCGGACCTGCAAACCTAGCTAGTATGGTGTTAACCTGAATCACCCACTGCTGTAGCCTGCTTATTCCTTTCAGCTGAGATTTCTGGACCTAAAGAGCTGTCCTCAGGTCAAACAAATGCACGATGATCTTCCCAAGAGGCAACACCAATTATTGCGGTTGTTTCACTTTTCAGCACCTTAATTCTTTCCTGTCACAAGATGAGAATTTCTAATTGAATGACAGGACTACTTTGTGACAAACTTCACGGTCTCCTTGCTAAGCCTCTATGCTTCTCTCCAATTTCATTCAGCAGGCCCAAGAAGGCTTGCCTGAAAGTGAGGCTATTCTGCAGCCTTCTTCAGTTCCTCCACGACAGCCTTGCTGGCCTGAGAAACATGCACTGCCTGCACCATGAGCACACACGTTGTCTACAACAGTGAACTTAGCTTGGTTTTGGAAAATAAAGGAAAACCAAACAAAACACCTGCAAAACCAACCAACACTAAGGGGAGCCAAAAAACAGGAAAACAACTTTTCGTTAGCTTTGCATGGGTACGTGTATGTTAACTAATTCCTAAAGGAGACAATAGTAGTTCTGTGATACTACTAAGAAGTTGAAACACGGAGCAGATAGACTGTTTAAGCTGTCAGTCTTTGAAAGCTGAGCTCAAAGACTTCTAAATGGAAACTACAGCTCAAATTGGTTCAGTGACTGAAAAATTAGGGTCATGTCATATTTTTATGAGTGCATTTTAGGAGAAGAATCTCTCTACCTTTATCTTCTCACTTAAATTCATATTTCTGTAACATTTCTTTTCATGTCTAACTCATTAATACACTCATATCTTGCAACACAGCTTCAGATCTGCACAGAATTTTCATGTCATTTTCAAACTTATTCATCAACATTAGAACCACTACTACGAAACACATCTTTTTTTCTTGTAACACTTTCATTCATCTCACTCAACATTATTTATGGTTCATCATTTTCCCATGTACAGAAAATGCCTGTGGCTGTATCATAGGCTTCTTTGTCACATAGAAATAGACTCAGAATTTTTAAACAAAACTTATTGGCAACAAATACATAGCCTAACTCATCTGCCAAAGTACCAGTTAATTTTTTTCATGAGCTCAGAATTTGAATTTACTACCAAGGATTCAAAGACTAGGACTACATTAGCACTAATAAAACAGTAACAGATCCCCGGAGTGAGACAGTTGGTGTTGAGGACCTGAAACACGCATTTTGAGGGAAAACCATTATTTAGAGTAGATCTGTCCCCGTTCTGAATACTGAACTCCCATCAGGTGTTGTGCATCTTCCTATTTTGTTTCAGTTGAAAGGAGTAAAGTTTGAATCTTTGGAGACTGCTCAATGATGGAAGCATAGCATTCTAAGTGGCACTGGGCAGATTTGCTTCAAAGGCGTATTTCTGATCCAAGTAAAAACATTAATGCAGATATATCCAAATAAAAACGGTACTCCTTATTTCTTTGATGATTTTCTTTTCTAGTAGTCAAACTGAAGCACATCCACAACTTAATATAGATTTCTTAAACGTAAAAAATGTATTTCATGAAATTTAAAAACTTCCACAATACGAGGTCAAAGATGGTAGAAAGCTAAAATATATTTAATATGGTTAAAATAGCATTTCTACTAATAAAGTCCTTGGGTATGCATTGAGGTTATTCAGGGGCTTTACGTACCAGTCATTGCATCAATAATAAACTGAAGAACATAATGTGCACTTTTTTTCTAAAAGATTATAAATAAATACGAGAGACCTTTCCGTTAAAGAAATCACTTGCAGATATCTTTTTAATGCCCTCAGTTTTTCTAATTTAAATTCTATTATTACAGTATCATTAAAATTCCAAGCAGGCAGATTCAGTCTACATGAAATGGGACGTGGGACAGGCCTTTTGTGGCACAATTAAGAGTGTTTCTTTCAAGGGCAACGTCACACAGAAGGTGAACGTTAATTTTACTAATATGGTAAAGGAGGATGAATGAGCGTGAGAAGGAAGGAAAGCAAAAATAAACTACATAGCATGATTTTTTCTGTGAAATTCTGTCATCTGTAACTTTCACTTTCTAAATAGGTTATTACAGGGACAGCAATTTGCATAAAAAGATTAAAGATTGCATGAAACGTCAAGGATTACTTTGCAGCTCTAACAAAGAAAAAACAGTCTTTGTAGATGTCAAATGCTTTTTAAGGAAATTATGAAAAGATATTCTGATAATAGCATATGATGCATAAAATACCCCCAACACTAGGTGTCAGAGTGCATACACTTTTTCTGAAAATAACTTAAAATGTCTCCACTTCCCCATATGAAAGCCAGAGCTCCATGCAAATTACAAAGGAGAGCTCACAACGCTCTTTTTCTTAATTCTGAAATACTTTTTCCCAGCAACTAGTTTCTATCAGGCGAATTAAAATAATCACAAAATCGTAGCTCAGAACAAAAGGTATTACAAAACAAAACAATCTAAATTTTTTTTTGAAACAACTGCTCTAAAACGGTTTAAATTATCTAGCTAACACCCTTTTCAATACTGTCATACTTGGTTCAAATTGCCAGTCATGAAGCAGTAAATATACTATGCATTGGTTTTAGCTTACATAAAGTGTAAGTAGCTATCAGACACTCAGATCATATTTCATAATTCTGGAAAGCCTAGATACAATATATGTAATATGTATTTTTAAAAAAACCTATACAGTAAACTTTTCTGCCACATATTCTTCTTAGAATTAACAGCCGGTACTACTATGGACATTTTTTCCATTACTTCACATAACCTATCAGAATGAAAGTTGAAAAGTTCATCGACCCTAAAGGAAATACTCTTGAATATCAAGACTGACACACACCAGCACAAATTAAGTCACATGATGAAAAAAACGGAGCCAGTGTGATTGGATTTTATGGATAGATGCTGATTACTTGCAACATTTTAGGAAACCTGAGTAGTCAAAGTTCTTTTCCATTACTTGCAGCACTTTGGGAAAACTGCATTTTTTCACTGCAGCTCAAATCAGCCACCAACTGGTCATAAAACTAGGATAACCATAGAGAAAATACTAATATTTCTGCTAATTTTAGCTAATACTAAGACTAACTCAAACCAACAAGTCCAGAGAGGAGTGGGCCCGCTTTATTTTTCCCCTGAAAGTAAGAACAATAAAAAAACTGACTTTGCACCTAGTGACAGAAGAAAAGCTAAAATGTCTGTCTTAAAAATTGTCCTCTATCACTCTGTAAAGAGATGATGATACATCTGAATGCAGTGGTAGTGATATATATTCAGGTCCTGGAAAGACCCACCACCCAGTCATACATGTCTGCATTGTTATCATGAAAAGATTTTAGTCTAGCCCTATGTGCATTTACACCTCAGAGGCCATGAGATCAAGTACAGCAATGGAGAAATGATCAGGAAAGTAATTTGGAACCATATTTCTTCCATAGTATAGGTACTAGAAAAATTCTTTGGCTACACATAGTTACAGAAAACTATGCATAAATTAAAACGTATTTAAAAAATTAAAGCAAAATGAAACAAACATGTCAGGAATATAGAAACTCCCTATCTTCAGAGTAAACAACAGAAAATGAAGAGATGATGTTTTCCAGATGACGTTTACCTGTTTAACCCTAACAGAGAATAACTAAGTTCTGTTACCATTTAGTATGAAGTAACATTCTGCACTATAGTTTTACATTTGCTAAAACAAGGCTGCTCTCTCAGTATGTACAATACACAAACACAGAAAAAGAGCCAAGAAACACAAAGAGCATTAAACTTTAAATACAAATACCATACTACAAAAGACAAAAATTTGCAAACACATATAAAAAGATTTCATTTTCAGTTTGACAGCCTATTAGTTTCAGCTTAACTAGTTTGTAGCAAAATAAAATTATTCACACATCAAAAATAACGTCCCACGCTTTCTCATAACTTCTGCAATGAATGTAAGCAATATTTTATGTTCAATAAAGTGTCAATTTGGTAATCAGAAAGACATTAACTTAAAATGTATATTAAAAAAGCCCCATTCTTTAAATTTTAAAATTACATATAATAAGTAAGTACGGATAAGTGTAAAAAAATTATGTTCATTTTGAGAAAGGGAATATACTTTAATTTGTTAGGAACTAGGACCTTGGAGTATGAAACTAACTCTTAAATATGAATTGTTATGCTTCCTACAATTTTGTAGAACACATAAGGTCCTTTACACATGCTTGAAACTAGTCTTTTATCAAGAACTCAGAATTAAAATGCAAAGATTTAAGTGGAAGAGAGTTGTCTTATCAATGAAGTATCAACTAAGTATATAGTAACTGCAAAACTAGTGGAAGAAGCCAAGGAGACTTAAGCTTTCCAAACAGTGATATACTTTAATATTTCCAACCCTTTTCACTTCCCTCCTGAAAGACTCTGCAACAGCTTATGATTAAAAAAGGAATCTTTATTTCAAATTTGCAATGACACTGGAATGATAGGACCTTTTTCCATGTCTGTATAACTTATATCTGAGATACAAAATAGAGACAAAACAGAGTTGTCATAACTTCCAAATTTAATGAGAACTTTACCACTTAAAGAACACCGTTTCATCAAATAAAAATTCTTCATCATAACTTCATGGGAAATGAACTACTACTTTCAAATACTTAGTAGTGAAATCCAAATGGGAAGCCAAAAGGAAAAGTAGGAGGCTATTTTGTGAAATGCTAAATGTCATTCTTTCAAGATAGTACAGATTTATTACAAGAATCCGGATGGAGTGTTATTTTAAAGGAATGTATTGCAGGGAGAAGGTTGAAAAAACTCAGAAAGTCACAAAATGAGCAAGAACGAAAGATCTTCTGAGAAGCTGCATAGGTACATAGCTTAAATAACAACCTAATCCTCTCAAATTATTTTCAATAGAATAGAGTTCTTGGAATGTATGGATTACCTTAACAACAGGATTCAGCAGAACAACACCTGATTTCTTTGTAATAACTTGCTTTGTTGTGTAATGATGTTCTATGAGCTGAGGAATAGTTGGAAACCCAGTTCCTTCAAAACGATACTGATTCTGTATGGAGGTAAAAGGAAATAATTATTTTTCTACAAGCAATATTTCAAATAAGAAACTGTAAAAGTGCATCACCAAGCTTCCCTCTTTAGTAACAAAACAAAGAAATGCCCGCTTTTACAGAATTACATATCTTTCCTGATCTATTTAATAGCATTTCTACTGAATTAAATGGAATGCTAGTTAAGAAGATGATGAATCAATAAATGAAAAACAACTGCATCACTCATTTAAGGCAACACAATAAAATAACTATTTATTTAAATTCTTAATTTAAAGAGATAGGATAGTTAAACTCAAAACTGACAGCGTGAAATAAAAATTTTATAAACCAGAAAAAAACAACACTGCCTAATTACTTAAAGTTCTAAGAGTAACAGAAAACAAACTAAAAAATAAACATCTGACAATAGAATAAACAGGAGATAAGTAACACTATCTTACTCGGATCTTACTGCATTTACAATGTTTGATAAAATTAATAAATCCCTAGCACAGAGTATAAGATGCATGATTGGTCTTTAAAAAGGAGTATATAGGAGAAGAGTCTACAGCAGCTAAAAACAAAGGCAGGTCATGCATACAATTCATACAGAAGTCGGGCAAGATAAAATTCCTCCCTCTCCCCGCTTCCTGAATTTATTTCTTTTTATATACATAATTGAACATGATGGAAACAAATCTTTTAGTATTTTCTTAGAAGCATGTAACATTTTCTTAGCAAAGACTGCTATGACATATCATTCCTTCAGGTGTTAAGGGGAAAAATGTATTTTTGTTGCTTATCTTTGCCCACACACTTGACAGGGACAAAAAATGGTAAAGAAATGTTTATTTCATCCTCCTGAATGTCTTAAACGATGCACTGCAGCCAACTGAGAAACAGGATAAAGTCTTATGCCTACAGAAGACTCAGCATCTACAGTTAGAGAATTCTTCCCAAGAGAGGAACTGTCATAAACCAGCCTGACAATGGCAACAATAAACAAGTTCTGCAATTGAAAAAACTCAAAGCACAGATGGTGATTCAAGTTCATTTACACAACTGGGCAATGAAAACCTCTACCACTGGCATGCAGAGTCTTTTCTTTCTAGCCCCCAGAGTTAAATTCCTTGTACAGTGCATTACAAGTTTCTCTTCCTTGGGGGCTGAAGCATTAACTTCGTGAAACATATTATTGCTGTTAGCAAAGACACCTTGGTCATGTCACCTATTTTTAACATTCCTGGTTCTCTGTCATAAAAATGTTTTCATAGTCTGAATACTTTTTGTTGTTCATTTTGTTGTTTAACCTTATTCACTTATTAAATAGTGACTCAGTTATTGATTGATCAGTAACACTTGATCCCATTCCTTTCAAATAAGCTCCTTCATATTTCTATGCTGATGACCCAAAATATCTGATGTCCTAAGAGTGTCCCTAGCACAGTAACCAGTATTGCCTATTATTTCTTCATCTCAGACTCAGCACGCACCCATCTGCTGCCTTCTATGTAAGGCTTTCAGGGCAGACAGTGTTCTTTAATTCTGTATATATACACAGGATCCTGACCATTATTAGGATTATTAACAATTTGAAAATAGCACAGCCTCAAATAGCGAGAGGGAAAACCAACAGTAGCCTTGAAGGATAGCAGTGAATTTTGATGCTTAAAGCTGAACAATGAACTCATTTATCACACACACAGTTCTAATAAGCTAGCCTTTAAAACCGTGGTGTAACCACAGAGAGAACACTTATGCAATTAAAGGACCACTGTTAAAGCAGGTGCACATCCCACTCTGCCCTTCAGCATTTGATTCAGAAGAAAATTTGTATATGGAGACTGAGTTTGGACCTGTCAGCAGTTCAAGAGCATGATTTGACCAGTCACAGAGACCTGATTCCACATTGTTCATACCAATGTAAACAAACAAATCCCTTGCACTAAATACCCTTCAAACTTTCCTACTAAAGCATTCATGAATACAATCCCTCTTGTTTTATGACTGTAACAGTCCCACCATCTACTAACTCCTTTTTAGGGCTTAATAAGCTTTTTCTCTTTTTTACAGTTCAAGCTTTTTTTCACAATAAATGGAGAAAATTCAAGCCACAGAAGTATATTAGGACTCCCGAATTTCTTTAAGAATTTTAACTTCTACGAATGTCAAGAAAATCTGCCAAAAAAGAATTTCAAGAGCAGATGAACATAATGGCCTACTACTAAATGTACAAGCAGACAGATCTAATGACCTAACAATGTTTGGACTGTCCAAGCTATACAATATTAAAAAAATATCAATCTTACATTTCAAAGGTAATTCCTAGAAGAAAGTAGTGAAATTATGGAAATAAAGATGTCATTTTAATCATTTTTTTTTTGTGGAAAAAAAATACAAAAAAAAGTCAGCTTACAAGCACACGTGGCCTCAAAGTAATACTTATAAAAAATTCTCTGTTTTCATTGACTTGAAAGTCCAATGTACATTTTTTTAAGATGTACTTGCCACATACAATGATTTACCCAAAATTATTTCTGCCATACCAAGTATACAATGTGAATTTACTTCTGCACAGTCAGGATCAGAGAGCTCCAAGCATCTTGTAAGACCCTGTGTGTCTAGGTATACATAATTTTACTGCTCTTATTTTCTCATTCAGCACTCTGACATAACAAAATAACTTTAATAATTGTTCAGTGTGGAGAAGAGAAGGCTTCAGGGAGACCTTCTAGCAGCCTTCCAGTACCTAAAGGGGGCCTACAGGAAAGCTGGAGAGGGACTTTTTACAAGGACGTGTAGTGTTAAGACAAGGGGAAATGGCTTTGAACTGAAAGAGGGGAGATTTAGACTAGATATAAGGAAGAAATTCTTCACTCTGAGGGTGGTGAGGTACTGGAACAGGTTGCCCAGGGAAGTTGTAGATGCCCCATCCCTGGAAGTGTTCAAGGCCAGGCTGGATGAGGCTTTGGGCAACCTGGTGTAGTGGAGGGTTTCCCTGCCCATGGCAGGGGGGTTGGAACTAGATGATCTTTGAGGTCCCTTCCAACCCTAACCATTCTATGATTCTATGATAAGGTCATAAAATCAAAATAACATAAACATTGACTTAATGTAAAGGTTCACTTCTACAAGGAAAACTCTAGGTGAAAATTAATAAAAACTCCAGCTGGACAAGTGTCCATAACCACTGATCCTACAGAAGTCTTCCAACTTCTATAAAGTTTGAAAAACATCACTGTTCCTCATTAAAAAGAAATAAACCAGGTACACAATATTGACTTCTTCCAGACACGTTGCATCAGCTGGGGATTTAGACAAGAAAATTCCTTCAGTGTAAACATTGTTATGCAACTAAATTTGTGTATTTTTCTTTATATAGGAGATTTTATTATAATGGATTGATACGTGTTTTGGCTGCGTTACTGAATCAAAACCAAGAATGATTTGCTGCTATATCATACTTCAGGAAGAATTTCTAGTAACGTTATGAGAATTGTTATATTTTGAATGAGTTTGAAATTCTGAAAGGTAAAAAGAAAAATACATACATTAAAAAAAAAGTAATGCATTAAGAAGAATGAAAAGTAACACGTTGGGTATGGGCATATAAGTTAAGACACTGTTTAAAATTACCAATTTTCCTATGTTAGAGCAACAAGGGGATCAATTCTGGTCCTTAGATGTATATATGCTGCCCAATATCCACAAGCATTTGTGTTACACTGAAGAAAACAATATCCGCAGGGCTAAAAAACCCAAACATTGCCAGTGCAACATGGATTTCAGTTCCCACCAACATAGATTATTTTCTTCTCTGTGAATGTTTCCATTTTTCAGGAAGATTCAATGAAATCTTTACAGTCTACATTAGAAGTAGTCTAATTAGCACAGACTATGAAAATGGGTTTAAAAATAAATATACACGCATAAATTAGTAGTACCACATTCTGGATTTGAAACATTTAAAGAAATATCTCGGCTTTTCAGTGTAAGACAAAAGATGCTGAATAACCTCATATTTCTTTTTTTTTTTTTTTTTGTGTTTCCCCAGATGACTTTTCCCCCTGATTTCAGCACTGATGGAAATATTTCCAACAGCTTTCACATTTTCATATAAAGCCTAAAGCCATTTGCCATAGTAAATAATGCAGATCCTAAATCGTTTAGGTGAAATTATAAACTTCCTAACATTCAATATTCAGTACTGTATCAGAGACGTACATCAGCATATTGTATGATAAAGTGTCTCCGTTGTCCATCTGAAAACACAGAAAGGACATATTCACCAGGTTTCCCGTGGCTCTCTCGCACCAAGAAGTCTCCTTGCTGTTTTAACAGCTCCTGGGCTTCTATTCTTGGAATTGCACCATGATACCAGTCTTGCTCAGCCAATGGTTTCTCAGTGGTTGATATTACATCAAAGAACTTGGGAAAAATATTGAAAAAAAATGTTATTATAACAGTACATCTTTAGAATTTACTTTTACATGAAAAGCATGATAAGTAACAGTAATGTCTATTTCTGTATCTAAATTATGTATTTCTATTAACAAACAAAATCAAAGTTCTTAAATTTACACAAAAGGCATTCTGATCATCTTCTTTTCCATTACCTAAAAAATGAATATACAAAAAGCAGAAGCTTATGGAAACATCTATAAAACCATGCAATATTTTTCACCTGGCATGCTATTTTTCCTAAGCCATACAGACCAACTCTTTCTCACACTTTCTGATGTTCTGTTAACAATTCAAATGAACCATTTCTTTATTCAGGCAGAAATTTTCAGACATAAAACCATAAGAAATTGACCTATACAAAGCATTTGAATTGGATAAATAATTTTCAAAGCATTCATCAATTCCATCCCAAATCAATTAATAAGTCTATGTGACATTTTTCCTAGCATTTACACTGTAGCACAGAATATACACCTGGGTGTATCGTGCCTATGAATGTTAGTGTAGAGTTTCTGAAGGCACAAAGATTGTAAGAAATTATTTTCACTGGCCGTAAATGGAAGGTAATGAGTTTTAACTTACAATTTCACATATTAATTTTAACAAGTTTACATTGTTTAAGAAACACCGAGGAAAACTTTTTGTTCAATGACCACTTAAGATTTACTTGTCATGGCTAGAGAGAGAAGCCCTTACTTAAGCTGCAAGTCATTCAAAATCGTTAGTACCAGAGCTCATACAAATTCTCACTGTCGGAGTAGTAAAGCTCTGAAGAAAATAACACAGTCTGTACTGTATTGTGAATTGAACAGATATGTCAATGTGTCCCAGG